CCTGCAAGTTTACCATGTGGGACTGCTGGAATGACTGGAGAGGCAGAAGAGAAAAGGAAAGATCTGGACTCGTTTCCTTCTGCTGAGTCTGTCTTTGAAATTATGTTTTGTAGACGTGTGTGTGTGCATGCTTGTTTTCTTGCGATGTCATGGATGCGTGTATAGGTCTATAAATGTGACTTTTAAATGTTAAAAGGGCCGCGCAAACCTCTTGAGCTTTCACCTTCGGACGTCGGCCTTGGGGTCTTCCTGCTCAGTCGCCACTGCCGCCTCTGGACTGTGGCGGCGGGGCCCCTGACTGCGATTACGTGGGAGAGCATTGAGCACCGCCTTACCAGCTCTGTCCCTGTCGCCTTGTCGTGGAACAAGCGGGTGTTCTGGCTCTAGGTGGGGAGCAGGAAAGGCATGGCGGTGGTGTTGGACGACGGCGCTGGCAGGAGACGGGACGAGGGAGGAGCAGAGGCTCAGGCTGTCGCACAGTGCCCCCCAGTTCTGCTCGCATTGTAGTCTGACGCTACGAGTCAGGGCTTCTTTGACTTCCTCGCCACAGCTCAGGAGAATATTCACCAGCTCCACATATGGGCTGGGCAGAGAGAGTCGGATTACTCACAAGAATCCTGTGATTTAACATTTGGAAGTAAAATACATCATGATCTTGCATATTAAGGTGAATAACTGGGATTAGGCTATTGGGATTATTGGAAATAACTTTAAATAAAAATATACGGGTAGAATAAAAATAAAAAAAAGGGTGGTGGAACATGGCTGCTTACCCTTTAGGAAAAAGATCTTGAAAATGGATCATCTCCACAATGACTGCCACATTCTCCTTTGCAGCAGAGCACAGGTTGTGCTTCACATAGCACTCTCTCTGTAGCTGGAACACCATCTCCTTGATGGTCACGCACTTTCTACTTATGCAGCTAAACTTGTGCCGTAAACCGTGGGCCATGCACTTCAGAGCATCCTTGATGAAGGATTTTCCCTGTATGCAAAATACAAAGACAAGAGTCACTGGACTTGAGCAAATGCACCAGCTAACAAATACCTGCCCCCATGTTAGCGAGGATTGGTTTGACCCGGCCAACATTTGTATGCGGGAACCATGTGGATCTTACTCAGGCTGAATAGGGACAAAGTTGGCGTGGGTTCACAGTGGGTCTCTGTGCAGGACCCACTTGACTTTATTAAATTCATCGAATCAGAAAACTCTTATGGTACTATGTCAAGCTAATTTGGGTCTCAAATGGGTTGATATTCGTGCTCAAATTTGAATAATTGTTGTAGTTATAGGTGGGGCCAGCCTTGCATTAAAGGAATAGTACACCCAAAACATGATTAGCCTTCATTTTCTACTCACCCCCATGCTGAACAACACTCTGGAGTACTTTTTTGATAT